TGGTTTCATGCAACATATAGTTGGATCATAAATTTTGTGCATGCCAAGGCAGCCAGTCAGTTACCTTTTAGATTATTAAGTATCCATCATCTGCGTCTATGTCCAACCCAGTGGAAGATTAGCACAAGGCAAAGCATCAAAAGAAAGAAGCTACAGTCGGGGCGCGGTGGCTCAAGCCTGTAATCCCAGCACTTTGGGAGGCCGAGACGGGCGGATCACGAGGTCAGGAGATCGAGACCATCCTGGCTAACACGGTGAAACCCCGTCTCTACTAAAAAATACAAAAAAATTAGCCGGGCGAGGTGGCGGGCGCCTGTAGTCCCAGCTACTTGGGAGGCTGAGGCAGGAAAATGGCGTAAACCCGGGAGGCGGAGCTTGCAGTGAGCTGAGATCCGGCCACTGCACTCCAGCCTGGGCAACAGAGCGAGACTCCGTCTCAAAAAAAAAAAAAAAAAAGAGAGAAAAGGAGCTACAGTGCGATTGGCCTAATGTATAATCTGTGCAATAGTTATCTCCCCTTCATACCTATTGATGGTTTTCCGATTATTGAGTTTTACTTGATAATATAAATCAAGGATAACGGCAGGTTTGTAAATTCAGCAGAGATAAGGTGCCATTTTGGCTTCCTGTTTAGCAGTCTTTTGTTTTGTTTTGTTTTGTTTTGTTTTTGAGATGGAGTTTCGCTCTTATTGCCCAGGCTGGAGTGCAATGGTGTGATCTCAGCTCACCGCATCCGCTGCCTCCCAGATTCAAGTGATTCTCCTGCCTCAGCCTCCCAAGTAGCTGGGACTACAGGCATATGCCATCATGCCTGGCTAATTTTGTATTTTGGTAGAGATGGGGTTTCTCATGTTGGCCAGGCTGGTCTTGAGCTCTTGACCTCAGGTGATCCGCCTGCCTCAGCCTCCCAAAGTATTGGGATTACAGGCGTGAGCCATCGCGCCCCGCCCTGTTTAGCAGTCTTTTAATGCCCAGAGATGTAGTAGAAGTCTCCTTAGTATGGGCTAGACAGTGAACAATAGCCATTTTAGTAGAGAGGTGAACAACTTCTAATAGTGTCCCAGTTATGTATGTTCATTGGCAATGGGTGTACCAGAACAGTTGTAAATGCGAAGGATTTTCAGATTGTGCCAACAGCAAAAAAAGATTCCCAAAGCATATCTGGAATAGTGTCAATGGTGGCAGTTTCCCCTTTGCCAACATGCAAGATCTAGTAAGAGCAATGAGCTAGAGGCTCAGGCTGATTTTGCAGTGAGTAAAGAGTATGCCTCATTGTTTCATGTGGAGAAATTATGACAAAACCAGTTACTATGTTTTCCCCACATTTGTGTTAAGAGGGGCCTTCTCAAAATGATAGTAAGTCTAGGTCATCCACGGAGGTGTCTAGGAGATCTTCCTGTGGCTTTAGGACCATTTCTATCTGTGCGTGACAGTCATGTGAAATGGGGTGGGGCTCTCCAACATCAGGTCAGGTAGTATAGTGGCCAGATTACTGGGAAGATGTCAGAAATAAATCAATATGACAGAACTGAGAGTCTGGAAATAACCCCCTTTGCTATCATTTGAATGTTTGTGTTCCCTCAAAATTCATAGGTTAGAACTCAATCCCCAGCACCACAGTTTTGGGAGATGGAGACTTTTGGTCTTTTGGCAGAGCCCTCATGAATAGACTAATGCCACTATAACGGGTTTGATGGATGGGGTTCGCCCTCTCTTGCCCTCTGTCTTCTGCCCTGTGAGGATGCAGTGTTCCTTCCCTCCAGAAGATGCAGTAAGAGGGCCTTCCCTAGGTGCCGGCACCTTTATCTTGGAATTCCCAGCATCCAGAACTATGAGAAAACTGATTAATATTCTTTACAAATTGCCCATTTGGCAGTATTTCATTATAGCAGCACACACGGACTAAGACACTCTTCATGGATAGTTAATTAATTTGCAACAAATAGGCCAAGATAAATTAAAGGGGAAAGTCTTTTCAACAAGCTACTAGAGAAGTTGAATATTGACCTTCAGAAACATGAACTGCTCCTGACAGCATGCATTATAGTTAACTCACACTGAAATGGTAAAAAAATATATATAAATTCAGCAGCAGATATTAGAGGATCTTTGTGACAGAGGGTTTGGGAAGGAGTTGTGTTTCATTTTCTTTAAAAAAAAAAAAAAAAAAAAAAAACCTCAGCCAGGCATGGTGGCTCACGCCTGTAATCCCAGCACTTTGGAAGGCCAAGGCAGGTGGATCACAAGGTCAGGAGATCAAGACCACGGTGAAACCCCGTCCCTACTAAAAATACAAAAAATTAGCTGGGCGCGGTGGCGGGTGCCTGTAGTCCCAGCTACTTGGGAGGCTGAGGCAGGAGAATGGTGTAAACCTGGGAGGCAGAGCTTGCAGTGAGCTGAGATTGGGCCACTGCACGCCAGCCTGGGTGACAGAGCGAGACTCTGTCTCAAAAAAAAAAAAAAAAAAAAAAAAAAAAAAAAAAAAAAAAAACCTCAGAAATAAACATCCTAATTCAGAAAAGCATAGTGTTGCCATAGAACTGACTGTGAGGAAACTAACAGCAATAATTTCTATATTGTGTTTAAACTTGCACACACAAATTTTGAGCTTTCTAGCTTCTCTTAGGATTTCTTTTGTCCTTTCTCCCTGTTGGGGGTTGGGGAAAGTGGGTCTCATGATTGTTGATTTTTCCTTCATCATGGTAATGTGAACAGCTATTTTTGTCTGGAAGCTTTTATATGTATTTAAATCATTGCAGAAATCAACTACTTACTTGTTGCCATTTGTAAAAATATACGAAATCTGTATATAAATCCCTGACAATCAGTTAGTTTGATACATTGTGCTCTCTTTTAACATGTGTGGAAACAAATAAATAGAACATTGTTCCAGGAGCAGTTCATGTGAGGAGTGAGGGGTGGAGCATTTCATAGAATAGAATGGTAGTTTATCCTTCAGAAAGCAGTTTCTAGCATAATAGACTGGGAGTGTATGTGTATGTGCGTGTGCGCGCGCTTAATTTTTATTTATTTTTTATTTATTTTATTTTTTTTTGAGACGGAGTCTCGCTGTCTTCCGGGCTGGAGTGCAGGGCATGATCCTGATCTCCGCTCACCCACAACCTCCGCCTACCGGGTTCAAGCGATTCTCCTGCCTCAGCCTCCTGAGTAGCTGGGATTACAGGCGCGTGCAACCGCGCCCGGCTAATTTTTTGTATTTTTAGTAGAGACGGGGTTTCACCGTGTTAGCCAGGATGGTCTCCATCTCCTGACCTCATGATCCGCCCGCCTCGGCCTCCCAAAGTGCTGGGATTACAGGCGTGAGCCACCGCACCTGGCCGAGACATCATTTTTTTCATTCGTTTTCTAAACATGTCCATTTGTCCTGGCAGAAAATGCTATAGTTTCTAGAAGTTGATTGAAGATTTCATTTGATCTATTGACATCTCATGTTCAGCTCCTTTCTATTTAGCCATGGGTACCAGCTTCTAGTTTATAACAAGTTTTTTTTTTTTTTTTTTTTGAGATGGAGTTTTGTTTTGTTTTGTTTTGTTTTGTTTTCTCGCTCTGTCGCCCAGGCTGGAGTGCAGTGGTGTGATGTTGCCTCACTGAAACCTCTGCCTCCCAGGTTCAAGCGATTCTCCTGCCTCAGCTTCCTGAGTAGCTGGGGTTATAGGCGCGCGCCACCACGCCCAACTAATCTTTGTATTTTTAGTAGAGACGGGGTTTCACCATGTTTGTCAGGCAGGCTGGTCTCGGACTCCTGACCTCGTGATCCCTTTTTTTTTTGGTGACATGGAGTTTTGCTCTTGTTGCCCAGGCTGGAGTGCAATGGCACGATCTCGGCGCACCGCAACCTCCGCCTCTCGGGTTCAAGCGATTCTCCTGCCTCAGCCTCCTGAGTAGCTGTGATTACAGGCGTGCGCCACCACACCCGGCTAATTTCGTATTTTTAGTAGAAACGGGGTTTCACCATGTTTGTCAGGCTGGTCTCAAACTCCCGACCTCAGGTGATCCACCCGCCTCGGCCTCCCAAAGTGCTGGAATTACAGGCGTCAGCCACAGCGCCCCGGCCATAACGCTTTTAAGTCTAGTATTCTTACTTCATAAATACATGGAGAAAGGCTAATGTTTTCAAATTCAAAGTCTAATGTCTCGGCTTTTGATCGAAGCGTTTAATTTATGAACATTTAATGGCATAAGGAGAGAGAATTTCCACGCTGTCCAGAGGGGACAGGTATTTTGAGATCTCAAAGTTAAATTCTTAATTGTCCCTCCCACCAACACCAGCTTCTGATCCACCCTGGGGCTCCGTCTTAGGAATCATTGTCTGGCTTCCCAGCTTGGGGATACGTTTGACCTCCTGAAAGGGGGTCTGCTTGTGAACAGTTGGTGCAATAGGCTGCTTCTCTGAGCTAGTTCAAGTTTTTGCTTTTCTTCTCTTTTGATTCTTTACAAAATATTGCTGCCATATAATTCCAGTTTTTCCACATACTTAACAATTTTATTTTGTTGTCGTGTTTTTATCTTCTGGGCTGCAAATGAGTAGATTGTGAGATAAGGTGAGGGAACGGCTTGACCACGTCGCCAACAGCCTCATCCCAAATTCCTGATCCCTGGAGGACATCAGGTCCTCCCTCCTGCTGCAGGGTGGCCTGTGTGCCCTGGGATCCCCTCCTGCTCCGAGGTCCGGGAATGGCCCCACTGGACAGGGGGCCTCGAATTCCCTGCACACACTTGTGAGTCCCTGTCCAGGAGGAAAAAGCAGGAAGAATCCACTGAGTACAATCAGGAAATTCTAAAATGCAAACGTCACTTCGGGAGGGGTCAGGTCACTGCGTTGGGAGGAAGCCCGCCTTGCCAAGGGCAGTGTCTGGAACCTGTTCATCCGGCTCCACTCAGCACTGCGAGATCGCTTCTTCTGTCAATCAGTCACCAAGGGGCGGGATCTGGAGCACTATCCAATCAGGGCCGAGGGGGCGGGGTGTGTGAGAACTGTCAATCAGGCACGCTGCAGGGAGGAGGGTGCGACGTTCAAAGAGCCCGCGGAGTCTTGTCCACGCCCCTGCGCTCTGAGTCCTGGGTCTGTCGCTGAGAGAGAGACGCCCTGGAAGGTCTGTATCAGCGTCTGTCTCGCCGGGACCCACACTGGACGCTGGCTTATAGGGAGGACACCCGGACACCAAGAAGCCGGGAAATGGTGAGTGTGCAGGGCCCGGCGTCCCGAGGCAAAGAAGGGGCAGGTTGGAACTGGCCGGAACCGACCGTGAGGGGACCCGGGCCTCGTCCTGGGCGACTGCGGGGTCTGCAAACCAGAGTGCCCCTGGCGCAGCTCGGCCCTTGGTCCCCTCGGCCGCAAGATGGGGCTGAGGCGGCAGCCGGGACCCCGGGCGTCCTGTCCCGTCCCTGCGCGGCCACTGCGGTCGGCGCCCTCTCTGGGCAGCTCCGCGCCCGCAGCTCCGCGTCTCCCCAGATTGTGCGGCTGTAACCGGCACAGGTTCGCGGCCCGAGTCACTGCACCGAGACGCCGAAGGCTACATCAGAAACAGTTTAATGGGGGAGAAGGGAGGAAACCCCAGATCCGCGTCCCTGAGAGGTTTGGGGATGGGGTGTTTGGGGGTGTGGACAGGGGCGGCTGGGGTGTGGGGTCGCTGGTTGGTGGGGAAGTGAGGGGTGACTCCTGGGACTGGAGGTGAAGAAACCGTATTCTCCTGCTGAGTGGGCTCCCTCGTGGGGTCTTCAGCCTGCTTGGCGCCAGCCTTTCCGCTGCAATTCAGGATCCGAGAAAGAACTCAGGCGACTCTTGAGCAACTCTCAGAGATCTTATCCCCAGGCACGATGAGGAAGCCGGCGGTCAGCGTCTGCTGTGACCTGACTCTCAGGGAGGCGGCCTTGCGAGGCAGCAGGGCTGAGAGCACCTGGTTAATATCTAACTGCAATCTCGCCTCCAGCCTGGCTCGCAGTTCCTGTGAACCCGGTGAGGAGGCTGCACGGTGACAACGGAGGGTCACCAGGCAGAATCCAGATTCGTGTGTGTGGGCTTTGTGCTTGGGAAGAGGAGCTGTGGTGGGTTCCCCAGTCCCTTTTTTCTTCCCAAGGGTGACCGGTTCCCCTCCGAGTCTTCCACAGATGTGGGCAGCAGGGTCTCAAATCCACCACCCTGTCCCCCATCCTAACTCCTCCTAGGGCTGGCAGCAAATCCCTTGGTTTCAGAGCCTTCCCCAGGCTAACTTTCTCTCAATTCACAGCAACTTTATGAACTCTTTGTCCCTCAGGCAATATTTCAAACAGAGGCATTATTTTAATTGTCACTTTCTTTTCACATAGCAAGTAAGGTTCTTTTCAAAAGATTTGTTTTGGGTTTGTGAACATTTCACATGTGAGGAAGCAAAGAATGACCACTTGACTCCACTGCAAAAAAAAAAAAAGTGTATGTGTGACTGTCCTTTATCCTGTCTACATAGAGATACCGAATATTTTCAGTCAAGGTTCCTCTTTGCAAATGGCATAGGGTGATCTGTCCTCAGCCCAGTCTCTGTGGTGTCCTGGTCCTGGGTTACAGAACTGTTTGTGGCTGCTCCAAGATGCTCGTAGCTGCTAAGTCTTTTGTAGTGTCTAGTGAATATCAGCTCTGAGTAACTCCTCCCAGAGGACAGCCTGAGGTGGGGGGTGGGACCTTATAGGGGAGCGGCCGGATGCCTTGGGGTGGGAGGAGTTCACTAGTATACTGTTCCTCAAAAGCAAAGCCGTTAACACATTCAGTTTTTTCTTCCCCAACCCCAGTTTCCATTCCTTGGGACACGTGGCTGGTGAGCCAGCTGGTTGGCGGTATTGAGGGAGCTTCTCCTGGGAGGGTAATTACTCAGCAGTTCATGGAGGTGGAAGATGTCCCAAGTGATAGGAGGACCTGACCTGACACTTGAGTCAGATTTGTCTGTGTTCCAGTCAGCCCCTCCCTGCATTTGTCATCTTGAAAAGATTTGTTCACTCATTTCAGCTTCAGCTTTTATTAACTGCTAAATGCATTTTATCATTAGAGCTTAATAAAGAAAGCAAAGTATGTTCAAAACGGCAAGAACAAGTTGGGTTTCAGAAAACTAATTACATATTTAGTCCTATATTTTATTTCTTTTTAAAACTTTTATTTACTTTTTTTTTTTGAGACGGAGTCTCACTCTGTTGCCCAGGCTGGAGTACAGTGGCGTGATCTCGGCTCACTGCAGTCTCAACCTCGTGGGTTCAAGCAGTCCTCCCACCTTGGCCTCCTGAGTAGCTAGGATTACAGACGTACGCTACCACGCCCAGCTAATTTTTAAAATATTTTTAGTAGAGACAGGGTTTCACCATGTTGGCCAGGCTGGTCTCGAACTCCTGACCTAAAGTGTTCCACCTGCCTTGGCATCCCAAAGTGCTGGGATTACAGCAGTGAGCCACCACGCCTGGCCTCAGGTCTGTTTTTTTTTTTTTTTTTTTTTTTTTTTTTTTGAGACGGAGTCTCACGCTGTTGCCCAGGCTGGAGTGCAGTGGCGCGATCTCGGCTCACTGCAAGCTCTGCCTCCCGGGTTCCCGCCATTCTCCTGCCTCAGCCTCCTGAGTAGCTGGGACTACAGGCGCCCGCCACCGCGCCCGGCTAATTTTTTGTATTTTTAGTAGAGACGGGGTTTCACTGTGGTCTCGATCTCCTGACCTTGTGATCCGCCCGCCTCGGCCTCCCAAAGTGCTGGGATTACAGGCTTGAGCCACCGCGCCCGGCCTAGGTCTGTTTTTTTATTGGATGATTTCAAATGGAATTTCAGGGCCTAGCAGTGAAAAGAAATTGGGAAAAACTCTTTTCCTTTATGACTGCAGAAAAATGAATACATTTTTGCAAGAAAGTGTGGTGGATATATTGATGAATTATAAAGATTTACCAAAATGTTAGTTCCTCTCCTTTGTAGAGTGGAGAATCTGAGACAGTGGATAACTCTATTCTGTTCCTGTTATGTGGACTTGACAGATTAATGCTAAATCCTGTGGGACAGGACTTTCCAACAGCTAAAGAACTCAAATATCATTATTCATTTACTAAATGATTTATTATTATGGAAAATGATAGATTAATTTGTTTTCTGAAATGGATAGATACTTGTGCTTTTTCTATTGAGCTATAAAATATAGATGTGTTGTGGTTTTCTTCCCTCCTATAAATATAAACGCTGGATTGGAGTGATTTTGCTGAACTCATCACACGTGGTATGTTTTTTTTAAATACCCCCGTGTAAGTCAGGTAAGGGCAAGTGAGTAGCCTTGACTGGGGTGGAGAAGCCTGAGGCCACTGACTCTGAGCTAAGATCAATCTGGAGCCTGCAAAGGGAGGTCATTGAAGACCCAGTTGAGTTGGTTCTTCCTGGGGAACCTCCCTGGCAGGTGTCCCAACCTGTTCATTCCAAACATGGGAGGAGCCCTTTATACTGAGAGAAGCTACGGAGCACTGGAAAGTTGGAGATCCACAGGCAGAGACATTTGGGGTGATGCCCTGTCTGAGGTAGTCTTTGTTACCGTTGTGGGGATGTTGCTAGATGTTCTCAAGTAAAATGAATCTGGATTTGGGCAAGAAGTGACTTCATTCTAAAAACATATTGCAAAAGGAGAAAACTACCAACTATAAGATCTGTCTGCAAGGATCTCAAAGCTTAGGCAGAAAATTGCTTTCCTTTTTCTTTTTTGAGACGGGATCTCGCTCTGTTGCCCATGCTGGGTGCAGTGGTGCGATCTCAGTTCACTGCAACCTCCGCCTCCCAGGTTCAAGTGATTCTCCTGCCTCAGCCTCCTGTGTAGCTAGGATTACAGGTGCCCGCCACCATGCCCAGCTAATTTTTGTATTTTTAGTAGAGATGGGGCTTCACCGTGTTAGCCAGGATGGTCTCAATCTTTTGACCTCAAGTGATCAGCCTGCCTTGGCCTCCCAAAGTGGTGGGATTACAGGCATGAGCCCCCACGCACAGCCAGAAAAATTGCTTTTCAAAGTGAAGAGCAAACAATATTAGAAAGAAGGTAGGAGAGAGAGCAGGATGGAAGGTGAAAATCAGATCCTACATCAGAGAATGTTTCACCTTGACTTCAGTCAGTTCTTAGGAGAGGTTAAAAAGGAGGGATTGTGGCCGGGCACATGGCTCACGCCTGTAATCCCAACACTTTGGGAGGCCAAGGCGAGTGGATCACCTGAAGCCGGGAGTTCGAGACCAGCCTGGCCAACTTGGCAAAACCCCGTCTCTACTAAAAATACAAAAAATTACCTGGGTGTGGTGGCACGTGCCTATAGTCCCAGCTACTTGGGAGACTGAGGCAGGAGAATCGCTTGAACCCGGGAGGCGGAGGTTGCAGTGAGCCGAGATTGTGAGCCACCACACTCCAGCCTGGGTGACAGAGCAAGACTCCATCTCAAAATAAATAAATAAATAGATTAATTAAAAAGAGGAATTGTGGCTCAGACTGAGTCCAGCAGGGAGAGAAACTTAAGGAAGGTTTGCTCTACATTAATTTTGTGCAGGCTAGTTAGTGAAGACAAAATTGTTCAGCTAATCATTTCTGAGGCAAAAGTGGGAATTTGGTGGGGTTTTTGTCTGGTGTTGTTACAGGTTAAAAAGGGGGCATAGTCGAAGCAATGCAGAGGGTGTTACATTGCATTCAGCTGCTTGTTCAGAACACACAGGACAGGTGGTAGAAGGCTGAGGTGGTTTCTTTTCTTTCTTTTTATTTTTTAAGGCAGAGTCTCACTCTGTTTCCCAGGCTAGAGTGCAGTGGCATGATCTCAGCTCACTGCAACCTCCACCTTGCCTCCCAGGCTCAAGCGATCCTCCCACCTCAGCCTCCCGAGTAGCGGAAACTACAGGCATGCGCCACTAGGCCCAGCTAATTTTTGTATTTTTCATAGAGATGGGGTTTCGCCATGTTGCCCAGGCTGGTCTTGAACTCGTGGGCTTAAGTGATCCAGCTGCCTCGGCCTCCCAAAGTACTGAGATTACAGGTGTGAGCCACCTAACCTGGTCTGAGGTGATTTATTTAATTCTAGCTATTAACCGATATTACAGAGCTGGGGTTAAATTCAACATTATTAGAAGTCTGGTTTTATATTCACTGTGTTTGTTTAATCAGAGTATTGTACAAATTTAAAAGTCTGTTGGGGCTGACTTAGAGAAAGACTCCTTTTGATTCTGCCTG